GAGGAGGGGTCCCAAAACACATCAGGCTTAGGAGAAAGTTTCCTTCCTCTTTTTTTTTTTTTAACAGAAAACTAAATTAAGTCTTTTCTTCTGGTTTGGGGGTTTCTGGGGGCTGCTGGGGGCTGAGGTCCAGGTTCTCCCTAATTTTAATGAACCGCAAAGCCAATTGTTTTTTGAGGGGTGAGAGTGAGGACACTTCTTCCCCCCCCCCCCCGCCTCCCAGTTTTCCAATTGGTGCACATTCTGCAGAGAAAAATTAAAGGTCCTGCATCAGCTGAGAACCAGAGGCAGGTTTATTTCCTAGGCTGGAAGGGATGCATTCTGAAACGTTATTTCAGGGCCTGTAGCACACAAAGGATTGGTCCCAAGTCTCCATTTCCTTGTTTTAAAAGACACACACACACAAACACACACATTCCTACTTTCCTGCTTCTAAAAAGGCTTCTGTAAAACCAGTAGAAATACAACAGGTGAGCCGTACCTGAAATCTCCATGAACAATCGAGAGCTGCTCGCTGGCTGGAAGGTGGGACGGGAACCATTTGAGGAGCCTCTCCATGGCCGGGATTGTGTGGGTCTCCGTGGCTCGATATTGCTTGCTCCACGTCTGGATTTGCCGCTGGACGTAATTGCCTACAATGTTAATATCTCCGTTTATCCTCTTCTTTGAAGAAAAAAAAACCCCTACAAAAATCCATTTTAAACGGGTACAAGCTTTACAATATCAGAGAAACCAAAAAGGTTCCCGAGTTTAATTTTTCTCTCTCATCCCCTGGAGGGCTGTTTCTTCCAGAAATGTCCATGCACCAAGCTGAAGCTTTCTTTCCATCAGAGGATCCAATTTTATTTTAACAGAACCCCAAATACGAGAGTTCCTGCAAGGAAGCGGCAGAGAGGGGGCTTTGCCTACCATGTTTCCCATAATCCTCCAGGCCAACGGTTTGGATGTCCACACTGTGGATTTGACAGAGGACGCTGTTCATGGCACTATAAACCTCCGTCCGCTGGTGAGGCTCCAGCTCCGGAAGAGAAGGGTCCTTGAAGATCCGGCCGGGGCTGTACTCCATCAGGTAGAAGGGGGTGCCGATGACACTGGAGCAACATCAGGGCGTTAGTAGGCCATCGTGAGGTTTTCAGCCCCCCAAAACGCCATCCCATGCGGAACTGGGCCCGGGACTCACCTCGAATCTTCACATAAGGCCAGGACTTTTGGAACAGGGATTCCAGTATCCCTGAGGGCCTTCAGAACCCTGCCCAAGAGAAACAGAAGAGAATTAAGGTGGGAAGAGGTGCTGTGGGAGGAGGAGAAGAAAAAGAAGAAGAAATAATCATATTCATAGATGTGGTGCCCTTCAGATGCTTTGGCTTATGATATTCTTGCTGCCAACTAACGTCAAGAATGAAGATGGCAACCCACAGGGCTGGGAGCTTTCCTTGTTAGCACTGCCACATCATAGGTAAACGGGGGAGCCTCTTTATCACTATATTTGCTGGATTTTTCACCTGTATTCTCTCTCTACCGCGTGAGCAGAGGGCAAGAGCTTCCCCGGCGGCTTCTTCCTTAGAACCAACCGACGGTCCCCAAATCTGACGTAGTAAGTCGGGTTGGACTGCCCGTGACTGAACTGCTGCAGCTCCAGAGAACCTGCAAAGTCACAGCCAAGGAACAGGCCACATGAGCCAGAGGGCCCCAGGAGGCCCCGCACGGAATTCGGGGTTCCCTCTGTTGTATCTCGGCAACTCTGCAAAGCGAGAGGGTTTGGAGGGGAAGTTTGGCCCCCATCTGCACCCTTCTGCCATTCAAGGTCCTTGGCTTTTTTACAGGAGCTGCTAACGGGACCACTACCGAATATTCCCAATAAAGGCAACCCCTGCCTCCCACGCAAAAGGGGAACATCAACTTCTGTACCTTTCACTTGGGCCCCCAAGACGTTTTCAAGATACTTTTGTAGAGGCGCTGTGGGGATTTCCATGGCCGGCCTCACAGGAGACACGTAAGGAACCACGCAACGCAAAGGGAAAGCGAGGCAGGTCTCTAATTCTTGAATTGCAGAGTCCGCATCATCGACCTGAGCAGAGGAAGGAACGGAGGAGCTGAAGCAGCAAATAGGCGTGGAAGAACCCTGTATTTAAAACAAAGAGTTTCCACGCACAAAGCAAGTACATCTGCAACTACCTCTGCTGGGGACAAATGACAAAAAAGTAGGGCTAGATATTTATATCTAGAGAATAGCTTCAAGAACAAAGGCTGACTGAAGGAGGTGAGGTCAGCTCTGGGAAGACTCATTTTAAAAGCATTCTCCTTCCTTCACCTTCAGGGTCTTAATGCCAAGTTGGCTGGCAGCTTTGAGGTTCTGTCCGATGTCATCCAGGAAGATGGACTCCTTGGCCAGGACACCCAGGTGCTCCAAGCACAGCTGGTAGATCCGAGGGTCAGGTTTGCACACCCCTTCCCGACAAGATTCCACAATCTGGGAGACAAAAGCCCAACACCAGGCAGGCAGGCAGGATGGATTGGGGAAGGGATTTGAAAATACAATAAATAGAACAGAAAGAGCAAATGGCATCTTATGTTTCGCGTGAGGGTTTAAGGTTATGTTCTTCCTTCAAGGTTTCATTTATGGCCTTAAAGATATTAACCAAGCAATAACAGAATGTACTATTTCATGCAGTTGCTTAATCAAGTAAGAAATTTGGCTAGCCAGAGGCTTCCAATTAATTTTTTTTTTTTAAGATTTTTTTTTTAAATAAAGGCAGTTAGATAATCATCAGTTGAACAAGGAGATCTGAGGGGTCCAAATAGCCAAGATACTGAATCTTTCTTCTAAGATATTCCATTATGGGAGCTACATAGAGAAAAATAAAATTCGTTTTCCTTCACAAGCCCTGAGTACTCCTATGCAAGTTTAGGCAAGCGTAATTATTAAGCTATAACTATCGTGATGAAGCAACAGCCCCATGGAATGGGAGTTTCTTGCGGAGCACAAAGAACGTACCACATCAAATTGCTTTCTGTCTATAGGTAGAAAACTCTCTCCACTTTCTAGATAAAAGTTGTTCGTCAAAACGGCCGCCTTGAGACCTCTGGCTCTGATGCACTTTACGGCCTCGGTCATAGCAGGGAGCTGGTCCGACATTTCTATTCTGGTTAGTTCAAAAAGGAAAGAGTCTGCTGGAACAGAAGCATTTGCCTGGAGAGGGAAAGAGAAATGTTGGGTGCTTTTTTCAACGAAGAAGTAAACAGCAATCGTCTTATGTAGTTTATTAATTCAATTGTAGAGTTTCTCTCTCTCTTTTGTTTTTTGTTTTTTGATTAGAAAAAAACCAGCCTAATTTCTGAGATATCGTGGTAGCTATAAACTCTTTTAAATTCCCAACACAGTGATGGATCTTTTCTGGTTGAGCTCATCTAACTCGTGGCATTATGGAAAAAACCAAATAAGCTTGTTGGGAAAAAGGACATTAACCTTGAGGCTGTTCATCCATACATTCAGCTCGAGACCCTCCTCCTCCACCCTCACTCATCCCACAGGAACCAACGGGGAAAACTGGCTTACAATTCTGGAGCACTGTTGTCTGAACTCTTGCAGAAATTCCGCCCACTTCAGCTCCCCTCTCATGAACCGCATCCAGGGCCTCTCCTCACCCCCAGATCTTAAGGCCTCTTTGATGGTGCCGGCGGGGACACAATTCCGAATTTCCCAATCTAAACAAAGGCAGGGAGTCCGGTGAGGAGGTCATATCCCTCTCTCGGGACCCAAAAGATTTTAAGCATAATGTAGTATATAGTGCAATTAAGCAGCACAGGAGTAAAGCCGACACCGAGGAAGCGTCGGGAATCACGGTATGAACTGGTGCTCCAGAAGGTGGGAGAAATTCAACAGCGGAAAGCCGGGAAATTTCAAACAGACCCAGCAGAGGGAAGAGAAGGTGACGGAATAAACTCTGGGAAAACCACCTACCCGTGGCCAGCTTGTACGGAGAAGGGAGGAGAACTCCACCCATGTCAAAGATCACCGCTCTGTAGGGACAGGATGCGTAATTCCTCCACCGGGCCCCGTCTGGCGGTTTGTGCCAGGGAGACCGAAGGATCGGTCCCCTCCTTGCAGGGCAGCCGCAAAAGGCTTGGAAAACTCTCCCGAAACCCATGCTCTGGCCCTGCGCGTGTCAAAGGAGAGGGAAGGGCTTCAGAGACTCGTGCAAAAGAGAATATCGGGGCACATTTACACATTTACATTTATGACCTTAATGATACCGGGCACATGTTTTGAAGAGACGTGGACTATTGTGTAGATTTTTTTGGGGGGGAAGCCCCGTCGCTTCTTAGGGGGCCAGTGTTTCTCAGCTTTGGCCTCTTGAAGATGGGTGGAGGGCAAGTGCCCCCTCCCCAGCCAGGAATTCCGGGAGTTGATGCCCACCCATCGTTTAAGTGGCCGCGACGACGGAGAAACACCGTCACCCAGGAGCATCATTTCCAGAGACTCCCAAAAAGGGCCCAAGAAAAGCAGGGATCAGAGATGCCCCTTCCTGGAGGGTCCCTTCCAGCAGCCCCCACCCCAAAACACAGGGGGAACCTGGAGGCAGATCCCCCTTGGCATCTCCAGCCTGCCGACCTTCCCAGCCCCCGACAGATGCGCTGGACTCCAACTCCCATTGGCCCCAGCCTTTCCCCTGGGAGGCTCTTCCTCCTCCTCCTGCAGGGCTCTTTGAAAGCCAAAGACAGGCTGTGGGGCGACTACACCACCCATCCTCCGCAGCCAAGGCACCCCATGCTCCACTCCTACCCACTCCCCCCGCCCTCCGGGGAGATCTTTCACCGACGAACCGCCACTGCAGCGGAGCAGGCGAGAGCCCTTCCGGGTTTGGAAGCGGGCAGGAGGAGGAGGAGGAGGAGTCATAAGCCACGCCCACCGCTCCCCGCCCACTCGCCCCGCGTGACCGCAGGGCGCCTGCGCGCCGCCCCTCCGGCCGCCCGTGTCAAAGGTCAGGAGGGCGGGGAGGCGGAAGCGCTGGGCGATCCGAGGGGCTCCCGTGTCTCCCGTTTCCCTCCCGCCCGAACTCGGACCCCGCAGGCCCGGGACCCTCCGCGGGGGGCGGCCCTTATGAGTGTGTCCCTGGTGGTCCTTCGCTTGGAGCTGGCCGAGTCTTCGCCCGTACCGGGCGACTTCTCTTACAGCGCTGCCGGTGAGGCCGCGGGGCGGCGGGCAGGGGACGTGGGGACACGGCTAGAGGGGGCCAGGAGGGCGGGGGAGGAAGCCGCGGGCCGCGAAAGCCGAAACGTTGAGGTCCTGCTGCCTAAATCCGGTGTTTTTCACGCGTAAGACGGGCGGACTTCAACTCCCAGAATCCCCCACCCACCAGGATTCTGGGAGTTGAAGTCCACCCAGCTTCAACGCTCCCGTGCTTGAAAAACACCAATTTAGAGGCAGGGGGTCTCGAACCTGGGCCCCTTGAAGACGGGAGGACTTAAAGGGGCCCAGGTTCGAGACCCCCTGATTGAGAGCAACATCTGTCAGGCCCCCGTTATTGACTTCTCTCCTTTTGTGGGCCTGTTTATGTGTTTAGCAACTCGACGGGAGGCTCTGGGCCTGTTTGTAGGGCGGAGGACGAACAGCCCCTAGCCTGACTAGCTCAGCACATGTGCCGGGTTCGGGTTGAGCTGGTCTGGGGTGGCTGCGGTTGGGTTGTGCGGAGACTCTAACCACCGGGCGGATCCTCCTGCTCCTCCTCCAGCTACTGAGATGTCTGATGAGGCGATGCAGGAGACGTCGCTGGCGGCTGCCGCAGTGACCTTGGATGGCAAGGCGCCCGTGGAGAAGGCGACCATAATCCACCAACACATCGGCCGGCGGGAGATGACAGATGTGATCATTGAGACGATAAAGCCGGATCCAGGTACCTGCGACACATTGTTTTGTGCCCCCAAGCAGAAGGATGAGTGATACATTTCTCTAGGATGTAGCCAAGTTTAAGACTTGTGGACTTCAACTCCCAGAATTCCTGAGTTAACATTGACTGGAGGAGGAATTCTTGGAGTTGAAGTCCACCAGTCTTAAAGCTGTCAAGTTTGAAGACCCCCGATGTAGAGAATGATTGGCACAAGTGGATAAGCACTATTTGATTGGAGTTGTGTATATTTCATGGCGTATGTTTGTTTATATGTCTCTCTGTCTGTCTGTCTGTCCGTCCATCCATCCATCCTCCCTGGTTGTTGAGCAGCTGTTGAAGGCCAGGCAAAACCTATCTTCCGAGGCCAGCTTGGCATCTAGCTGCTTAAGCAAGAATTTTAAGGCTCCTTTTGTTCACAACAATGCAGAGAATTGCATCTGGGCAGGCAGGCTGTTAAACAGATTCACTTGCAAGCAACTTTTCTGCAAGCTTGTTTGCAAGGCACCATTTCAAGTGATTCTCGAAGTCTGCCGATTAATTTTTCATGAGCGTAGGAATCAATAAGACCAGTAATCAGAAATTAGTACTTCGCTCTGGATTGTTACTGGCAATATTTAATCTTCTGGTACAGCGTCGCTCAGAAATATGAGCTGGTGTCTGAGCAGTTTCTCTGGATTCAGAATCTTAACGGCCTATTTTTACACTTGATAAAACATTTCTAAGAAATTTTCTGCCGTTCTTTTGCCCATGGTCTCAAAGCGGTACCTTCCCTTTTAATGAGAAAAAAATCTTAAATAAATAAATATGGATTGCAGCTGGGAAGTGTCAGTTTTCTAACTTATCTGTTTTTGGATTTCTGAAAAAGACGAGGCGAAAGAGATGATGGACAAAGTTGGTGCAGCTGAGGCTTCCTCCACTGAGGATCACAATAATCAGGATAGCCAAAGTGGAACCAGCGGAACTACCCTGGATTCTCCATCAAAGCAGCTCCCCGACCAGATCTCCTTTTTCAGTGGGAATCCATCGGTTGAAATAGCTCACGGCATTATGCACCTCTACAAGACAAAGTAAGAAAGCAGGACTCACACATTAAATGCTTTAAGGCAGGGGTCTCCAAAGCTGGCAACTTTTAAGACTTGTGAACTTCAGCTCCCAGAATTCCCCTGCCAGCAAGTCCAGATGTCTTAAAAGTAGTTAAGATTGGTGAACGCTGCATTATAGAGTCGAAGCAGAAACAATGGACTTGCTGACCGGTCTTCATTCTTCCCTTGTGCAGCAAAATGACCTCCTTAAAGGAAGAGGTGCGACGCAGCGCCATGCTGTGTATTCTCACAGTCCCTGCCACAATGACCAGCCACGACCTCATGAAGTTTGTGGCGTCTTTTTATGATGACATCGAACACATGAAAATCATCCGAGATTCCACCCCAAACCAGTACATGGTGCTCATCAAATTCCGGACGCAGGTAAGAACAAAGAGCGACTTTGGGCTGAAGGCTCCTCCCATGCCTCTCCTATCTGGTTGTGATCCAAAAACATATACACTGCTCCTACAACTCGGGGAAAAGGGGAACCGTTATTGGTAGCTGGACTAGAAAGTCCTGACTGTGAGAGGGGAAGGGGCTGTGTGAGCGAGTGCCGCTGGCCTCTTCTTATATAATTTATTTTTTGAGGAGAGGGGTGAGAAGTTAAGGAAAACGGTGAGCCACGGTGGCGCAGTGGTCAGAGTGCAGTACTGCAGGCTACTTTTGCTGACTGGCGGCTGCCTCCAATTTGGCAGTTCAAATCTCACCAGGTTCAAGGTTGACTCAGCCTTCCGTCCTTCTGAGGTCGGTAAAACGAGGACCCAGATAGTTGGGGGCTGACTCTGTAAACCGCTTAGAGAGGGGCCGGAAAGCACCGTGAAGCGATGTATAAGCCTAAGTGCTATTGCTACAGTGCTAAAAAGGACCTTTGATCAATTCCAACGGTTCAATTTCCCTCCCGACTGTTCTCCTCTGGCTTCTGTGCAGGCCGATGCAGACGGCTTCTACATGGCTTGCAACGGTCGGCAGTTCAACTCCATAGAAGAAGACGTTTGTCAGCTCGTCTATGTGGAAAGGGCAGAGGTCTTCAAGTCGGAAGATGTGAGCGGTTGCTGCTTCTCTGTTTTCTCTCTGGCGGGGGAGATCTTTCCCCAGTTAGCCTTCTTCCAGTGTGAGATGCAACTGAAGCGAGGGGGGGGGGTGTCACAGTGGGGATAATATGGGGATAAGGCCCAGCAGCCTTTTCTGATGCTCCAGAGGAAATTCTAACAGATCAGCTTGTAGAGGTTCCCGGTTGCTGTTCATTGCAGCTGGAAGGTGGACTGGCTAAGGCAGGGTTTTGCAACCTGCTGGCTGGGGAATTCTGGGAGTTGAAGTCCATTCACCAGGGTGTCCTCTCCTCCTGCAGGGGGCCAGCCTGCCCGTCATGGACCTGACCGAGCTCCCCAAATGCACCGTCTGCTTGGAGAGGATGGATGAATCGGTCAACGGGATCCTGACCACGGTCTGCAACCACAGCTTCCACAGTCAGTGTCTGCAGCGGTGGGAGGACACCACGTAAGACACTCCCCCACATGAGGGCGGAAAGGGGGATCAGAGCGGGGGTGGGTGGGGAGCAAAGGCGATCCAGAAGGTCAAGGCCGGGCGACCTAGTTTGGAGTCCTCAAGGCATTCTCCCTTCTCCAGGTGCCCCGTCTGCAGGTACTGCCAGACTCCAGAACCTGTGGAAGAAAACAAATGTTTTGAATGTGGAGTCCAAGAAGTGAGTGAGTCCGTGTCGGTTCAGAAATCAGCCGTGTTGCTTCTTGGGAAATAGAATTTGGACATCGGTTGTCTTCCTCCTCCTGTTCTACAGAACCTTTGGATATGCCTCATCTGCGGGCACATCGGATGCGGGCGTTATGTGAGTCGGCACGCCTACAAGCACTTTGAGGAGACACAACACACCTACGCCATGCAGCTGACCAATCACAGGGTCTGGGACTACGCCGGGGGTAAGCCCTGTTCCACAGACCCGACCCCCCCCCAGCCACATCCCAGAGTGGACCACCCCCTTAACAAGTTGGGGAGACCCCCCTGTCCATCTACTTTCCTACGATCAGAGAGGGCTCCGTTCTTGAGAGCAAAACTTGTATTCCTTGGGTGGGGAGAAGTTGAGGGCCACCAAAGACCAGTTCTTTACTTTCAAAAGAGCCAGCTCACTTTTCCAAGTTCTCTGCCAGGTGAATCTTCTCACTTTAACCTGAAGGCGGGCACAAGTTGGAGCTGGTGACCCCTGAGCTGCTTCGATTCGGGCCTTGATTCAGGATGACCAGTTGGCTGTTGTCTTTTCTCCAGACAATTACGTCCACCGCCTGGTGGCCAGCAAAACGGACGGCAAGCTGGTTCAGTACGAATGTGAGGGGGATGTGTGTCAGGAAGAGAAAATCGATGCCTTACAACTAGAAGTAAGTGTGTGTCAGTGCTCTTCCCAGGTGGTTCGTTTGGGGAGACTTTCACGGCTAACTCAACGGATGATGCCCTGTGGAATGTTTGTCATCGTCTGGGGTTGTCTTTTCTTGAGTGTAACTTGGAGTTGGGGAGACTCCTGCGATGGGATTCCATCTCTCCTCTAGGGCAGAGATCTCCAATCCTGGCCACTTTAAGACTTGTGGACTTCAACTCCCAGAGTTCCTCAGCCAGCTTTGAGGAACTCTGGGAGTTGAAGTCCACAAGTCTTAAAGTGACCAGGGTTGGAGACCTCTGCTCTAGAGAACGTAAGGATGGCTTGTCTACTTTCTCTCTCTCTCTCTCTCTCTCTCCTGAATGCAGTATTCCTACTTGTTAACCAGCCAGCTGGAGTCCCAGCGCATCTACTGGGAGAACAAGATCGTCCGAATAGAAAAGGACACGGCCGAAGAAGTAAGTTCCTTCGGAATGTTTTGTTCCCGTGGTCAGCAGGAACCAGATTTCAGGGCCAGATTGATCTCCTTCCATTTTTGCATGCATGGTGGATGTCAGTCAGCCACTTTGCTCCTGGGGCCCAAGCCCAGCCAAGAAGCCCCCTGAGGAGGGCTCAGGATCTCAAGGGCCTTGGAGGTAGCCGTGCTGGAGTAAGGAAGCCACTTCACAGGGTGGTTTCTTCTCTCTGCCCAGTCTGTGTTCCCTCTTCCAAAGCAGAGTCCATCCTTTTCTAAGGGAGCTCCAGGAATATTCTCCCAAGGAATTGGTAGTAAACAAGATGTTCGTTTCCCAACCCAAAGGATAACATTTCGCTGTAGCAATTACTACTCACCCAGAAAACATCCTGAGAAGAATGACCCTGTGTCAGATTCTGAGCCATGCAGAGAGCATCCATCTGGACCTTAAAACGCCCTTTTTTTCAAATATTATTTGCAGATCAACAACATGAAAGCCAAATTTAAAGAGACGATTGAGAAATGCGACTCACTGGAACACAGACTGAACGACTTGCTGAAGGAGAGGCAGTCGGTCGAAAGGAAGTGGGTAACTTTCAGAACTTTGAACTGGGTGCTCCTAAATTAGCCATCCGGGTGCGAAATGCACATATGTGATCGGTGAATCTAGTCCTGCATCCCCCACCCCTGTGGACCAGCAGGTTTTCCTCTTGGTCTGGAATTAACGTCCTGAGGAGTGACAGACAGGTGCTCCTCCACACACAGCTATGATGGGAACCTGCCCATTACAGTTATAGAATAGTCACATGACCTGGTTTGTTTTTTTTGATGCTTTATTATTATTATTATTATTATATATATTTTGCAACAGTCATTCAGCAAATGCCGCACTTGTGAGACGCACCAAAGGCTCGCTGGGGCAGGGTTTTGCTGAAGACAGGAAGGGCTAGCTTTTGGCAAAGCCATCGTGAAAGGCAGTCGCGGAACGCTGCCCACAGCCGTAAATGAAGCCCCCATCTAGACTTAGACTAATTTTAGTGTCAACTTTGAATGTACGCTAATCGGCATACATTAAAGTGAGATTTGGTGGCCTACAACTCTCAGAGGGCCTCCACTTCCAGGGCCCTGAGCATTTCAGTTGCAGTCATAGGAATTGGGGGGGGGATTTCAAATTTGAGTCATAATTCTCCATTATTTGTTGTAACTTCAAACAGTGGCAAGTCAAGGACTGCAAGTATTAAATCCTAGGTTAAGGGTCTTCAAACTTGGCAAGTTTAAGATGTGTGGACTCTTCAACTCACAGAATTCCTGAGCTGACATGACTGGAGGAGGAATTCTGGGAGTTGAAGTCCACAAGTCTTCAAGCTGCCAAGTTTGAAGACCCCGTCTAGAGGGGTGAAATATTTTCCAGGGCACGCAGGCTTGTCAGACTGTTCAGGGAGCCAGTGGTGCTTTATCAAGAGGCAGAAAATCGCTGCTCCTTTTATCCCAGTAAAGATTCTTTCGCTGCTGCTGCTCCTGCCGCTGCCACCGCCGCTGCCTCAGTTCCCCCTTCTCCCCTCCCAGGTGCAGCCAGCTAAGCACCAAGGTGTCCAAGCTGACCAACGAGCTGAAGGAGGAGCAGGAGATGAACAAATGCCTGCGGGCCAACCAGCTCCAGCTCCAGAACCAGCTGAAGGACGAGGAGAAGCTCCTGAAGGAGACCTGCGAGCAGAAGGACCTCCAGATCACCGAGGTCCAGGAGCAGCTCCGCGACGTCATGTTCTACCTGGAGACCCAGCAGAAGATCAACCACCTGCCTGCCGAGGCCAGGCAGGAGATCCAGGACGGGCAGATCAACATCCCCGTGGCCTCTCCGGCGGGTTCCTCCGCGGGGGGCAGCGGGAAGCCCTCCTCCCGCAAGGGAAGGGGCAAGAGGGGCAAGTGACCACCAGCAGGCACAGAGGCAACGGAGGTGACCACCATCGGGTGCAGGAAGGGTGTCGGGAGGGCGAAGCGGGCAGCGTGGTCTGTTTTGGCAAAAAGAGGCTGGGAAACCTAGCCAAGGGACGAGCGTCCGGTCTCTGGATCCTTTGCACTAAACCCTTGGGCCACCGACGGCCCTGCAGGCGCCTTTTCCTCTGCTCGCTAGCTTGCCTTAGGCTCTCCGTAGGGAAACCCTCACCGGCTGCCGGGCCTTCCCTCCCTCCCTCCCTGCCCTCCCTCTCTCTGCTGCCCCTTCCCTGGGGGTCTTTCGGCTCTGCAGGTTTCGCCCAAGGAGAAAAAGAAGTGCAGGAACCAACACGAGCCTTAGGTTTTATTTCAGAAGGAGCAGGCAGGGCTGCGGTGGCTTGACGTCCAGCCTACGCTGAAAGCGATACCCGAATGTCGGCTTCCCTCCCCAGGATGAATTGGGGGGCGGGGGAGTTAGTGGCCTTGGGAGGAGGTGGGCCCAGTGCAGACGGAACCCTGACCGGGTGCTGGAGAATCAGGGCTGGAGTCCTTTGATTGGGGCGCCTGCCAGGGGAATGTGCCTCTCTTTCTTGATACGCTTTCGGTTCTTATGTGGTCCCTTCCTTTTCCTTCCTTCCTCCTTTCCTTCCTTTCCTCCCTCCCTCCTTTCCTTCCTCCCTCCTTTCCTTCCTCCTTTCCTTCCTTCCACCCTCCCTTCCTCCTTCCCTTCCTTCCTTCTTTCTTTCTCCTTTCCTTCCTTCCTTCCACCCTCCCTTCCTCCTTCCCTTTCTTCCTTCTTTCTTTCTCCTTTCCTTCCTTCCCTCCTTCCCTTCCCTTCCTCTTTCCCTCTCCTTTCTTTGCAGCTGAATCTCTTTTCCCTGCTACACTTGATCCCTGGCCGTACATTTTGTGGGGTCTCGTCCCGTCCCGATTCCCACCTTTGCCGTTTAGGGAGATTGTATCACTGTGTGTGTGTTTGTGCGTGTTTGCCCTGGCTCCCGTTGTGTAGCTTCCGCTCTGTGCCGTGCATGTCCATTGCAGAGTCCCAGGTGTGGCGTTCTGCTGCAGCGAGGCTGTCGGAAGGCTACCGAAGTGAGGAGTGAACTCCTCCTCCTCCCCTTCCCCCACCCCCAAATCTCTGCTCCAAACACCCCTGGGGTGTTGATGCTGCTCTCTTTTGCGCAGGCTTTCCCCGGGGAAGGATGGTGGGGTTGGAGTTCCCTGGGGCTGGCTTTGCCTGGGCCAGACTCTCGACGTTCTTCGTAGCCACCTTAGACTTAGCAGCAAGCAATGAGATGCAGAACCAGCTACAGAGCTGCTGAGTTTTTAAAGAAAGCTTCTTTTGCACCGTAGCTTGCATGGCACCCTGGTCCTTCAGCGCCAAGAGCCAGCCGTCGCACTTTTGGTGGCCGCGGTGTTTTGCTCCTTCAGCGCGTAAGGGAAAGTAGTAAGTTATTGATTCGTCTGGAGGCCCCCAAGTGACGCGCTGCCTCCGTAAGAAATCCGGCTGGGTTTCTGCAGCAAGGGCCTCCCAGGCACCTGGGCCTGGATTGGGCTGCAGTTCCTGGCATTGACCAAGCCAGCTTCCCAAGGGCTCAGCCTGGGTCTCTTCAAGGCCTTCCTCCCAGCAGCTGCACCCAGGGAAAGGGTTTGCTTAGCATCTGGTCAAAGGCCTAGATCCTGGCTTGTTGTTTTCCTTTTATAAAGCCAGGACCAAAATCCAGGGCTTGTTCTTGGCTTATGAACCGTGGCTCCTTTGGCAGCAACAAGCCAGGATCCTGAGTTTTGGCCATAGTAAGCCAAACAAGATGCAGCGAAAGACCCTGAGCCGTGACAAACCTAATGGCCCTAATTCTGTGGCCTCGGTAGTTTTTCCCTGGAGGAGGGGAGGGGATGAGTCCGTACAACGAGGAGGAACTCTGTGTGTGGTGTGTGTTTGTTTGTGTGTGTGTGTGTACACACTAGCATGCAGCTCATTGATCTTCCCATTCCCTGGCTTCTGAGCCTCTGGAGGTCATGTTTTCCCTAAGATACGGGACAAAGGCATTTTAAAGATTCAAACTGCACAGAAGGGCTATCTCTTTAGAGAATATAAGAGCCATGATTTCTGCCACGCAGCACCTACTGGGGTTTTATATATATATATATATATTGAACGGTCCTGGGATTATTTTTTTCTTTTTTTGCATTGCTGTGTTGTTGTTTTTGCTTCCTCATTGATTTCCCTTGAAATGAGGAGGAAGTGAGCGCGTGGCCACTCCGTCAGGCGTGGGGGAAACAGATTCTGCCAGAGGACAGGAAAGGAAGAGGGGATGAACAGGAGGAGCTGGGTGGAAAGAAAAGAGCCACTGGGTTTTTTATTAGCAGATTTGCCATTCCTCAACCACTGGAGGGTGAGTGGGGGCTGAGTGGCTCCTCCCCAAACGGACCAAGACGCAGCAAGAGTTTTTTAGAGGCCTTTTCGGTTGTGTTTGTAACTGGGAAACCCCACTTAACGTACTGAGGTAGAGCAATGAAAAAAAACAAAACACCACCCTCCAATCTCAGCTGAGAGCAGCCGGTCTTATTCAGGGGAAGCATGTAGCTTGACTGGCACTCAAAACACCCCATCAGTGTCTACTTTAAAAAAATAAAAATAAACCTGGATTGTAACTTCAGCAACGAGAGTATATTAAACCGGATAAAAGTCCAACCTGTGATATTTGTGCATAATATGTGTATTTGGTGGTAAAAATGCAGCAGTCGCTAAGTTGTCTATCATAGGGGTCTCCAACCTTGGCCCCTTTAAGACTTGTGGACTTCAACTCCCAGAATTCTGAGCGTTGAAGTCCACAAGCCTTAAAGGTCCCTGGTCTATTACAGGAAGCTAGGGTTTGCCTAATTATAGTTTATTGGCAGACTCCAGGTGGCTGGCTCTGTAGAACAAACTAGACCAGGAACTGTAGTTTGTCATACATGGCATTGAGGTCCACACGCTAAACAGTTCTTTACGTCCCTCCTTAAAATGCAATTCCTTTCTAAGTCTCCCTTCTGAAGAAAATGACCTTTTTTTTTAAAAAAAAAAAAGTAAAACGAGAAAAAAGATTTTCTGGTAAGAAAAAGCTCCCCTTGTAGACGCCCAGCTTCGCCCCAGGAAAGAGTCCAAAAATTTATTGGGGTTTAATTGTGTGCTCGCAGCTGCTACTGTGTGGGATCCCTTCTCATTTGTAGGGGGGGGTGTCACTGAATCATTGGAGATCTCCCCCGTTTGCAGGGATCTCTTCAGTTCCTCTCATTAAGATCGTCCGATTTTTGCCGCCCGGATGGATTCCTGCCCTGTTCCTTAGCTCACCCTACTGATAAAAGTGACTTTTGTGAGGGAAAGGGGGGGCCTTGTATGCAGACAATGGATGCCAAAGAGGCCATCAGACAAAGGGTACATTGAAATCCAGCAGCCGTTCCAACCATGGCCCAGAGTCCTTTGTCGTGCTGGGGAGGAAGTAGCAGGACCAGCTTTCCTGGCTGGGCGCTCCGGGTGCCCATCCCCAGTTGGTCACGTAGGCACAGGGTGAGGCGGTCCATAGCCGCTTCTGCTGGACCCTCAAATCCCATTCAGCTTCTTGAAGGATCTAGAACAGGGGTCCCCAAACTTGCTGGCTGGAGAATTCTGGGAGTTGAAGTCCACAAGTCTTTAAAGTTGCCAAGTTTGGAGACCTGATGTAGAACAAGGTTCTTCAAACTTGGCAAGTTTAAGACTTGTGGATTTCCACTCCCGGAATTCCTGAGCTGACATGACTGGAGGAGGGATTCTGGGAGATAAGTCCACAAGTCTTCAAGCTGTCAAGTTTGAAGGCCCCTGATTATCTATTTATCATCTCTCTCTGTACCTACCTATTTATCGATCTATTGATCTGTCCATCATCTATCACAAGGGCCTTCAAACTTGGCAACTTTAAGACTTGTGGACTTCCACTCCTAGAATTCCTGAGCTAACATGACTGGAGGAGGGATTCTGGGAGTTGAAGTCCACAAGTCTTAAAATCGCCAAGTTTGAAGACTCCTGATCTATCATCTACCTACCTATTTACCTATCTATCTATCACAAGGGTCTTCAAATTGGCAAGTTTAAGACTTGTGGACTTCCACTCCCAGAATTCCTGAGCTAACATGACTGGAGGAGGGATTCTGGGAGTGGAAGTCCACAAGTCTTAAAGCTGCCAAGTTTGAAGACCCCTGCTGTAGGCCAACCTTCCTCTTCATCTCTGGTTGCTGATCCCCTTCGATGTGTTGGACCAGACTGAGAATGCCGGTTCTTAAGCTTTACTAGAAGTCTCTTGCTGGGTTCGATGGGACCTAATCAAATGCACCATGGTTTTTAGCACTCCAACCTTGGCCGCTTTTCAGACTTGTGGCCTTCAACTCCCAGAATTCCAGCAACAACACTGGAGAATGCTGGGAGTTGAAGTCCACAATCTGGTCTCAGGTTAGACCAAGCTAGACTCCAAAGAGCTGCCAAGTAGTCCTTTCAGTCTTCAAATGGTGCCCAGGGGTGGGTGGGGCTGTGGCTCTACAGGTGCGTCAAGCCCACCCTCTCTGGTGCTGCCCTCCACCCAGTGAATCGCTGTCTTCTTTGCACCATTGGGTGACTAATGGGCAGTGCCCTCTCGCAACCCTCCTGTCCTATCGTCGATTTTTTTCTCTCCCTCGTGGCCCAGCTGAGAAGCATCTAAGACCCCGAAGCCTCAGCTAAGTTTCATTTTACGCTGCGAAAAGGACGGTTTTATCTCTGAACGGCAAGGGATAAAATTGTAATTTGTTTCATGCCAATCTGTTCAGCCTCTGGACTGAGGGGTCTTGCTTTCTCAGCCCCCTTGAAATCTTCAGCTTAGTCCAACAAGTCTTCCCAGTGGTGGTTTTGCAGCCCCCTCCCCACTTTGCTGAGCAGCCAGTTTGGGAATGAATTCTGGAAAATCACAAGATTGCTCTTCTCTTTTTTTTCTTTTGGTTGGTCACAACAAAGATGTCACCTTTCTGGGTATTTAAGCAATTCCTCCCTTCCTCCAGCTAGCTTCCAAGTAAACAGGAAGCAAACTCAGCTTTTCTTATAACTAATTAACCGAACATCTATTAATACAGAGTAA